TGTCTCCCCGACTCCCTTCCCCCCCCATCTGTTTCTCCCCCCACTGCCCTGCGCGTCTCTCACTGTCCCTGACCCTCTCTTGCCATGCTCTGTGGGTCACACGTCCTGAGCTGACAGTGGGAGTGGGAGGGACTCAGTTACGAAGGCCCAGTTGGCCCTGGTGGGTGGTGAGGAGCTGCCCGCCTGCCTCGAGCTCGGCTTCAGCCTCGGGCTCAGGAGCACAGGGCTCACCGCCAGGCGCCCTGCCAGGGTGGAGGGTGAGGTCAGTCACCGGGGCTGAGCCCGTGCTGGCAGGAATCTCGGAGCAGGTGGCATCCCAGCTGGCCAAGGGGAAGCCGTGGGCGAGAGGTGTTCCAGGTGGGCGCCCTGGCCAACGGCTGTCCCGTGTGCGTCCGCCAGACCCCACCACGCGGCCGGCCCCTCGGCCATCGTCTCCCCACTCGGGTCCCGCCCCCGACCACGCTCAGTCCTCCCTACAGCTCTTCGTTAGCCCCACTTGGCAGTTGAGGACACCAAGGCCCTGGGACTAATGTGACTGACCTCCCTGGTGATGGGTCCGCCGGGACGGGGATGGCACCCAGAGGAGCCTCCTTGCGCCCCACCCAACTCTGACACCGGTGGCTGGTGGATCTGGCTCTCAGGAATGAGTGCGGGGATCCTTGGCCGGGTCTGCCATGGCTGCGGGGGAGGGGGGCGCTGTGAAGGGAGGGGGGCTGTGTCCCTGTCCCAGCCCTGTTCCCTCAGCAGCACCCTTATCAGCTCCCTGCCTGGGGTGGCCCTGCCACTTCTCAGTAAGAGGACCTCCTGCAGGACTTGGAGAAGCCAGGGGGTGCACAGCCACTTCTGTGACCAAGGTCATGGTCAAGTGGGGAGAGGTCCAGTCTGGCCTTCAGAGCTGGACACTGCAGTTGGGGATCCAGGCACACACCCTGGCCGAGCCCCCAACTAACTAGGTGACTGCCCCTTGCTTTAGGGTGGGGCCAGGGAGCTCAGCTCACCCTGTAGATTACAGGGTGTTACAAGGAGGGGCCAATCCCCCTACCCCACCCCTGCTATCCCAGGGCCGTGAGTCAGGGATGGGGCGTTATGATAAGAATGATAATAGAAACATTGATAGGGTGCTTACTCTGAGCCTGGTACTGTCCTAGGCCCTTTACATATATTTACTCACTAAATACCCCAAACAGCCCCTGGAGTAGGTGCCGAGTTATCCCCAGGCCCACACAGGTTCCATAAGGCCCCCACATCCACACAGCTGGAGGGGTGGGCGCCAAGATCCCACCCCCGAAGTCTGGCTCCAGAGCCTGCGTGCTCCATCTGACCCCCTGGGAGTGTAGGACATGTGGTCCCCGGACAGTGTGCCCGACTCTG